ACCGGAAGTAGTGTACTAATAATTGATTCAATCAGAGTTCAAATAAATAGGTATTTAAAATTTATCTCAATGTACTTATAATTGAAATGTCATCAACGAAGTGATAACCATACAGACATAGCAAAAATAACGATAGAAATGTACTTGGAAAAGAGAAAATTACTTATAGGTTTACATGAATTTTCCGTTTCATTCCACAACGACAAAGAAAAATCACACATTCAGAAGACATGATAAAAAATCCAAATTTTCACACAACTCTGATCGATAAACCAGATAATCTCTGGTGGTACCATCATGCACCGGAGTCCATTATTGATCACTCCATAGAAATAGAATACATATTTTCAATTATTTTATCCAAATATGAGTTCACTAATGATCAAAGTTAATTATCCTGAAATTTCTGTCATCTGCTAAATATTGGTCCGTTTTTCCAAAGTTTCCCGTCAACTCTGCACGAGTGTTTCACACTTGTGAGTTTATATGTTTGCCTCAAAATGTCCTGGTTCATCTTGGTTAGGTCCTCAAAAACAATAAACTTCGTTCCTTCAGCTTCCGGCGATTGCTAAGAATTTGTGTCTTTTTCCTTCTGTGGGCAAATTTACAAATAATAGTCCGTGGCTTGTCTTTGCTGTATCTACTCGGCCCATGTGCAATTTCTTTACCACTTTCCTCAATGTTCACTTGAAGATATTTTTTTTTTTGCAAAATTCACAATTTTTCCCACACACTCCTCGTTCAGCATCACCCAGTCCCGCAATCCTGATGGAATTCTTTCTTCCATGCTGTTCAAACTCGTTGAGTTTGAAGTCTAAAAAAGCGTTGAACTTCTCACGTGGTCTTCGAATTGCTCTAACTTTTCTTTCAGGGTCTCATTCTCCAAGTCAAAAATCTGAATGATCTTATTCAATATTTCAAGAGTGATGAGCAATCTCGAGTCTAAATGACCTTTAATGTTGCGTACACCTTTCAATAGTTTCTTTATAACGAAATTATTGGTAGAATTTTCCATGTTCTCCACTTTGTGTACAAAACTTAATGCTGACATAAATTGTATAAATGGAAGCAGGACTAATTTTTTCAAATATGATTGAGTAACATACTTCGTTAGGGAAGATTGAGTAACTGAAAAGACTGTTGTTCCAAACGATCGAAGTGAGCATAATGTTGAATAACTGGTTTGTATTATTCTGCTATTGATGGTGGTAGAGAGGCTGATAACAGCTGACGTATTACGGTACCATGAGATGTGCTGGAATTTTGACTGGATAATGATTCAACCAAGGAGCTACCTGGAAGGCATCCTGGAATTTTAAACAAGACAAACTATCAGTAATGATATTTGTACAACCTGGGATATGTTTAACTTTGAACAAAAATGTTGTAGCGTAATGTAATTAACTGAACGTGTAACCCGGTTTTTTTGTTTTGTCTTTTGAAGAAGTCTTATAAACATTGTCAACAACAGCTTCCAATCGCAAGTATTATTTGGAAAATATCTTTAATGGTTATATGCAGTGGCTTTAACAAGCCAATCTCCAATAAACCAGTTACTCCCTAAAACTGCTACACAGCCTCATAAGTACCGGCTGCATCTGAAATATAGTTTAATGGATGAGATCCACTCTTCAAATAAAAACCGAGATTAACCATTGTGGTTCCCTGATGGATCCTGTGTTTATCAAACCTGAGTTCCCAGAACTTATACCATATACGATGTTAATGGTAGGACAGCAACGAGGTCACTCTAATGAAAACATTTATCCATTCTCATTCGTCATGCAATTAGTTGTTATGGTTACTCAAGGAAAAGGTAAAAGCAAACAACTAGTTTTGTTTGTACGCGGTCAGAAATACGTATTCCACCTCAACTGCATGGCCTTCTCGTCCAAGAGAATGAATATTCGACAGGAGGATGACATGTTTGAATGGTTGGCTATAATGTGTACAGATTGACATTTAGGTAAGAAATTGAATATGGGAGAAAAGACTGTCAAATTGTTGTCCAATAATTTCTAGTTTTCATTGAGATCGGTTTCCAAGTTTAGATTTCTGTACAAGCTTCCTCTAATCATAGTTCTTATTTGGTTACCATGAAAACCACATCGAATTGAATGTTTTGGAAATAATACAAACCTTGATATAAAATAGATATGGTCAACACATTTCTTGTTGTTCAAAGAGTAGACTTTCTCAACATACAATAAAATTGAAATTGGAGAGCTTTGCATTTATTTTGACAAGGTCCTTGATAAATTCAACCTCGTGTTAAAACCAAATGGCACAGTTAGTTCCTATAAGTATGCCAAAAGCCTGTTCTAAACTACATTCGACGCATTGTTTGTCATTGAAACATTAAAATGCGATGTCGTTGTCGCGGAAAAATTAAAACGTGATGTGTTTGTCCTCGAAACATTAGAACGCAATGTAGTTGCCCTGGAGAAATCAAAATGTGATGTGCTAGATCTGAAAAATTAAAACGCAGTGTGTTTGTCCTAGAAATATCACAACGCGATTTGTTTGTCCTAGAAATATCACAACGCGATTTGTTTGTCCTAGAAATATCACAACGCGATTTGTTTGTCCTGGAAATACCATAGAATCAAAATGTTAGGTGTTCGTTCTAGCAACATTAAGTCGCGATCTGTTTGTCATAGAAATATCTATAGGCAATGCGTTGGTGATATGTTTTTAAGTGATGTGTGTTTCTCCTGAAAATATTTAAACGAAATAGTTTAATTATAATTTTTATTACCATTTCTTGTTTTAGTCAGTTCGGCCCGGAGTTGCTACATGGAGATATCGCTTCAGAAATATGCAATTGCAATCACGTGGTATTAGATCTCTTATATATATATATACATAATGGAATACGCTGATATAGACGACGCAGATATGACATGTTTACTGTTTTTTATTCGTTTTTTGTTTTTGTTTTTTTGTTTTGTTTTAAAGTATGTATTATTTTCAACCCTAGGTTAATATCAAACGTTAATTCTGATTCAAGGATAGTTGTACTCTGTTGAACATGACACGTTTTATCAATTCACTGCTCCCAATCATTATTCACGTTGACTGAATAGACAACAAGGCTGGCAATTTACTTAAGTACTTGATTTGCATTGATCAATTACCTGAAATAAAGTACAGCAATCCCTATCTCTATTACACTTTTGTGGTGTTAAATCTACATGAGATTTCCATACAAATGTAGCATTATTGGTCTAATGTAAAAGCCACTCGTAACTTTTATCAGAGAGGTTGATAGGTACGTTTGTTTTGTTAATAGTTTCCAGTCTGAGGTCGCAAAAAATTGATTCATGTTTTTTTGTAAGAAATTAAAGAAATGAGTACATAAATATATCAGGGAAAATAGACCTTCATATTTTGCTTCGGTAAATAAACCGGAAAATGGAATATATTGTAATTCAAAACAATGTCTGGCGTGTGTTTGAATAATGGAAGGTTAGAGTCTAGAACTCGAAAATTGAAAATGCCATGCAGTGATGAAGAGTATGATGTTTGCACTAAGAAATTAAGAATAAGTCTAATAATATGTAACTCTTCAATTTAACTTCCATTTGACACCTTCTTGGCTTCTAAATGGTTGAACCTGCTGCTAATCCATACACAGGCAAAACGGAATGAATATCGCATGGAGATGATTTGATTATCTCACATATTTAATAAAATATTTAAAGAAAGTTTCATTCACATTTTAAAACATCTGTATAAGCGATGAAAAACAAACAAATAACAAATAAAAGACGATATGACGAATTCTTAATTTTATCTATTTTAATATAAATGAAAACATTACAGAATGGAAACCGAAATAAAATATCACAGTAGCAAACTGATTCTGACCATCAAAACAGGAGTAACACAAGCTATATTACTTATTTAATAAATATCTTTGTGTTCTATATTTATTGAATATCTGTCTCTTGCTGAATTGACTGGCATTATTTCGAAGGACTGAACTACCAATATTCTCCATACTCTGTTTTCAATGCTGTAGAACCACTGATCAGAAGACAGATTAACAGTCCAAGCCAGCTTTGGTAAGGTTATAAACAGACAATAATATATCAGAAAATGGTAAGATTACTTTCTGTATACACACAGGTCGTGTAGACTTGTAAAAAATACTTTCGTTTCTAATTTCAACACAATGAGGATGCAGTAACCTTTCTAGTTCTTTGTTGTACGCGATAGTTATAAAAAGTTTCTCGTCAAAATTGTCCACGGCTACAACAAACAAGATCTGTCATCAATTACTGCAATAGACTTCGTGAAGGTGAATGAGTTACTAAACATTAAGAGACACAATAAGGATTTTGGCGCCTACCATCATCTGATCCTAACTGGTTTTGTTTTGCCATTTAAATCAGACATATGGTAAGGTACCCTATACAGCATTTTTAAAAATATGCATCTATGTCACAGATAAGGACCAGTTGAATTCATACGTAAGTTTGAATATCTAAAGATGACCGCCAGTCCGAAATTGTTTCCTGTCTGTCCTTAAGTTGAACAATCATAACAGAGGACCAAGGGGAACATTGAACACAGTAATAATCAGGTCCAAAATATTGCCGCCTGTCAGAGTCTATAGTTTTTCGGGTCAGTATTAAAATTGAACAATACTACGTACGGAGGGGAACATACCTAAATTTCGAGTCGAAAGACGTAAACTTCACCAGCAGAGTCTACCAGTTGCAGTCTCGAAGATTGTACAAAAGGCACACACGTGAATAACACCTTTCAACGCAAAACTGGGATTGGAAACAACAGAGCAAAACATTAATTTATCTAAGTGCAACATACAGCTGATTTGTCCTTCTAGAACTCAACAGATATGCCGTGTGACTGAATTTCATTTTTTTCTACTTTTCGTGCGCACACTTTTAGAGTAGTGATATGTTTTGAAATGTGTCATGGTTTTATATCTTACACCTTTCCTATTGACAAAGGTGTCCACGGTTATACATCATCTAGAATAAGTATGGTTTTGAATACCAAGAAATTGTTGTCGATGACGTAGTCGTTGTATTAATTCCATATTGTCCATTTGGAATAGTAATATACTGATAGTTTCCGACACTTGTGATTACCATCAGTAAATGTTGCACGGGTAAATCTATAATTATCCCCCCTGTATTCAGATGCTTGAATGCAAATCCGCGGCTGTATCTTGCGGTGTATACATTTGCACTGGCGCTGTAGTCCACAAAATCGGCAGTAAATAATATGTTGTGACCATAATCCGTTCCGACTTTCAAGCGGATTGGCTGACCAGCATAGACTCCATCTTGTAAAGTAAAAAGTCCTTGATAGTTAGTCCTAGATGGTTCTGTTCTGTGCACTTCCGACCAAACTGAGTTGTCAACAAACCAACGTACTCTAGAATTGGTTTTATCTTCAACTAAGTTAGTATTCTGGTCAAACCCAAACGTGTACGTTGTAATATTTCCTGAGGAAGATACAATGGTTACTGTTCTTTTAAGGTCGGTGTTCATGTCGTCTGATACTAACTCTGACGACAGCATGGCATAGATTTGAAAGGTATTAATAAATATCATGTCAACCCTGGTCACACGTCCACCTATATCGACTTTGACTTCTTTTCCAGAGTTGATATAATTAGCGAGCAACACAATGCTTCCATGCCCTTCAAATTCGGAGTATGAGTTCGAGTACACCAACTGCCAAGTGTCGGACACAAGGTAAGCATAAGATCCACTTTCTTTGAGAAATGTATGGGCATTTGCATCTAACCAATCCGTATTATGGATGTAGCCTTCGGAGTCAATCATCAAACTTGTCCAATTTCCGTCGTTGGCGATCCATGAGAACTGCCCTGTCATATTAACCCCATAGTACAGGTCGTGTAGGGGATATCTTGTCATTTCTAATTGGACTATAACATCTTTTCCAGAAAAAATTGCTTCAGTCATATTAAAACCCGGGTTCCATGCCCCGGATGTTTGAAAAACATTTGTTGTGGAATGATCGCTTGTAAACCAGGTCATTGAGACCCCATGCGTAGTTTCTGTTTGTGCGCCATTTGCCCATAGCCCAATTCGAAGAAATCCAGTTGTACAAGCAAATATGATCATTCTGAGTACATAACCCAATTGCGAGGCCATGTTATGCACCGACTGTGCACATCTGCTTTCAATGACGTCACTGTAAGAGAAAATGGCGTCGGCTTGTATAACGAGGTCGTCAAATTGTCCTGGGATGTCTTTGATTAATATTCGCACTGCAACTCCTCTGTCGATATCTGCAATCAGCTCAGTCAGGTTTCCATACGTAGTGTTTGTGGCGTCTGTGTGTACAACGTATCTTTTTCGGTACCCATCTCCAACTGTGTAAGATAAGATTATCAAATCGTATAAACGGAATCGTTAACTCTAAACTCCTAACACAAGGACTCATTGACGAAATATTTACGAGTCTTCTATTAAATTTGAAAGACTAATGCGTGCTAGGTATGCAGTCTCTGTCTCTACATAAAAGCCAAGAAACCACAAAAAATAAATCCTTCACAGAGCTTTTATTTCATTTGTTCCATTTCTTTTGTTTAAAGGAGTTGCCTTCTAAATCTTCTATAAACTTCTAATAATCTATCATTTGGTCATAGGGTCTCAAAATCAAATATGGCAGGGAGATTTCAAGGGTCACCAAGAAAAAGGCCTTGTAATATGTTTCTTTTGCATAACTACATGTATGTTTTATTTACACAATATTGTTATCACACTATGTTATTTCGTAACATTATTCTAACCAAATTAGATCCACAAATTAATTTTTATTTTCTAAATACTGAGCAAAATTAAAGAAATATCTAGCATTTCACATAATTTTATCAGGCCGATCCTATAGTCAAGAGCAGGTTGTCCTGAAAAAAAAACCAGGTAAATTGGTGACGCTGTAAGTATATACATGTCATACTTACGCAGATAGTAGAAGCAAAATGCATAGTAACCGTTGTCATTCAGACAGTTCCTGTCATGCCACTCATACGAATATTTTGGCGACATTATAACACAATCTTGATCTTCCTTTTCCGTGTCGTCGTTTGGTTGGCCACCATCCCATGCAGTCCAACTGACCGGACCAAACCTATTTGTATATATCCCTTCCTCATCAAGGTCGTTCACATCTACCCAGTAGTATTGAGAACTGGATATGGTGCCTGAAGCATCACTTTAAAGAATAAAAGTAAGATATAAGGTCTTTGAACACGGTCGTTTGATGATTCAATGTTGGAAATAATTCATACTCATAAAATTCATGATATAGTGTGAAAAATAATGTTGACTCGAGATATTCCCGATATCGAGTCTATTGTTTCAGCACAAATGATAGTATCGAGATAAAAATAGCTAATTCAATATAGATGTTCAATATATTGTTCGTTTAATCGCATTTATGGTGATATTGAAATAACCTTATGATAAACTCTACTGTACAGTAAAAACCAAATCTGTTCAAATCAATGTTATAATTATCTTTCCTTCAAATTCATAAGGGAGGCGAATTTAAAATGACGGCGAAATTTTGTGACACTTATTTGAATAATTCTGAGAGAAATATAAACATGATGCTAATTGACGTATAATGGTACAAGGGCGAAAAAAATCTGAGTAAAAAATATCTAGATATATAGTGCATTTCGCACATTAGCTTTCCCAGTTTGTCCATGAGTGTTCCGCTCGGGAGAACAGCCAGGTAGCCCCCTGTGTCCACACATGCTGTCAAGTTGACGTATGAATGGGAGCTCTGTACTGCCCAGTAACATACGTGATACTCGTTTAACATAAAAGCATCCGGTGGACATCCAGCATCTGAAAAATTCGTGTTAGTTAGTATATTTATAGGACAGACATTAAAGACAGAATAAAATTTCAATATTTCAAACACTCTCCTGTTGTTTGCCTAAACCTAAAACCTTATTTCAAATGTCTGCTTAAGCTATGCCAGTACTGGGTTTTACAGATAGATGCATTTAGACTCCATTTTGTTTTATAATACATTTTCTTTTGTATTGGGAATGGATTGATGAAATATTATATAGACAGCTGTCTTTCCGTTGTTGCTAGTGAAGGTTTTGGAAATCTTCACACATGAAAGATGCGTTTAAGTGGAAATCTATGTCAACAAAGCAAGGCAATTACCACGTTTTACAGACCATAAGGATACTCTGTATGGAATGTTTCAAGTAAGATATCGGACGGTACATTAATGGCATGATTTCAAAAGTTAAAAGGGATGTCACACATGTTAGAGTATTGAACCGACTACACTTGGTTAAACATTTCACACATCGTTGCTCTCGCAATGCACGCATTACCATTAGTTGATAACCCTACCTATATAGAACGCCTGCTAAACCTTCAGATCGGCCTTTTATCAGAAAAAATCGTTAATATGCAATCGTCTCAGAGTTGAGTGTGGTGTCAATCTCACGAGAGTTTACTTTTCGTTAGGTTTATAATGGCAAATCTTGACTGCAACCCCCAACCTCCATCCTATCCCCTTCCCAAAAAGTTAAATAGATAAAGAAATAGATGAAAACGTCGACTTCATCGGAATATGGCATAAAGAGAAAGAGAGGCGCTTATCTTTGAATCAAAAGAAGAAATCAAAGCCGTATTCTAAATTTATTTTGCTATTTCACATTTTTACGCATGGAAACAAAAGGTTTTTTCCCTCTCAAAATAAAGATTTCCTCCGATTTTTAATGAAAAAAATTACCTACACCAACTTTAACAATGCAGCCATTGTTTCTAAACATGTTACTGCCAACGTCATCTCGTTATGCTTAGTAACCAGGCCACTCGCTTACGTCATCTCTTTATGTTTTATAGACAGGTCACTTATTAACGTCATCTCGTTATGCTTAGTAACCAGGCCACTAGCTTACGTCATCTCTTTATGCTTAATAGCCAGGTCACTTATTAACGTCATCTCGTTATGCTAAGTAACCAGGCCACTCTCTTACGTCATCTCTTTATGTTTAATAGCCAGGTCACTTATTACCTTCATCTCGTTATGCTTAGTAACCAGGCCACTCGCTTACGTCATCTCTTTATGCTTAATAGCCAGGTCACTTATTAACGTCATCTCGTTATGCTAAGTAACCAGGCCACTCGCTTACGTCATATCTTTATGTTTAATAGCCAGGTCACTTATTAACGTCATCTCCTTATGATTAGTATCCAGGTTATGGCTGTTTAACCTTATTATTTTTAACACATTTCAGGCTATGGTGTGACATATTATGTTCGAAATAACAACTTGAACAATAAGATATATCGACAGAAAAATAATCAAACGCTTCCGTGTGATGGCAAGGCCCATGCATAACTTAAAAAATCACCTGTAATGAAATACCTCTTTTTTTCACCCCTCATGACAAATGTTTTTATTGTTAAAGAAACAATGTGTTAGACAACTATGGTAAAGTCGCGTAATCATCATATATATAACATATCTAAGTCACAATCGGTAACCGTCATCAACTTATCTACACATTGTCGGCACAATTAAAGATGGCACACTTTATTTAGCCCATTATCAAACTTGAAGTAAGAAAATTACTTCTTTTCATTGAGGTTCTAAATCCTTGAGATAAATTTTTTGAAGTTCAGCAATAGACAAAACCTCGAGTGATTCTGTTCGCATGTTGCTATTTTTGTTGTTGTTATGATACTGAGTAAAATTTCACTGACAACATCACACAGAAACAGAAATGGCAATCACAAGATTATAATACAGCTACAGATTTTTGTAGTCTGACAAAAAAGACTGTCGGGCATTATCAACCCACATTTCCTTTAAAAACAGTTTCTAGACTAAGAGGTATTCCCGGGATATTTACTAATATTTTGAAATCAAACGTAAATGATACAGCAAACCGGAACCAGCTTAATATAAAAAATAAATGCAAAACGAAAGTAAATACACATTATACATAATACATATCTACCTGTGAGATCCAGAGCAGCCTTCTCAAGGTATTGTGTCGGATCAAATGTACTCTGTAAGTTAAGATTAAGAAAATTGTATCGAGGTTAAAAATTAATTCTTCGCAAGTAAATTGTCTTTTAACTGACATTTATTTATTGCACATGGTATCTAGAGTTTCTGTTGGACATAGTAGAAACCATCATTCATGTATCTCATTGTAGTTGTTCATATCAAGTGATTAACAACACACCGCCTTCCTGTTAAGGTCTTTAAATTTTTAAGGGTTCACTTTTTCCCTGTTTTCAAGAATTTTGAAAATTCAATGCATTGAAAAAGAAAAATGAATACACGACCTTAAAAATCGGTTGAAATACAATTGATGTAATTTTCAAATCGGTCATGAAACCTTTTTTTTAACTTTTAATGCCATGATTTATGTTTTTGGTTTCAATTTTCCCCATCGTTAAAATAAAAATAAATAAATAAAAAAAAAAAAGAAAAAAAAAGAAAAGCAAAGAAAGACAGACTGCCTAAATTTAAAACGCCTTACTTTACTTACCGTCATGTGAAAAGAACAATTTGTCCGGGCCTCTATCAAATCACAAGAGAAACTGTTTGAGATTTGATTAAACTGTTCACAATCAAAATGTTTGGTGGTGTTTTGACAAACATTGAATCCGACACACGAACTCTGCATCCCACACAACAAGGCACATTCAAGTGGTGATCTGGTGACAGACTGATTATAGATACCACCATTATTAGCAGTCGAGTCCAAATATGACACCTGTTCGCACGGTCGTATAAAGTTAGACACAGCAATGTTGTCCTCTTGTGAAATTACTGTGCTAAAAAGCAATAAAATGACACTCCAATCACAAATCATGTCCTCAGAAATTAAGAAAACACCAAAAGGATATATAAATATTAGAATATTACGGAATATGTCTTGTTGTAAGAAATTAGTGAAGTTCCTCCCAACGGTATTTTACTTATACATGTCCACACAATCCCTTACAAGCGAATGATATGTTTTAAAGTTAATTGATGTCCAATTAGATAGTATAAATCCAGAAAAGAAGTATTTTCGAAGTCCATTGACGATAATTATGTCGATTTTAACGAGGTACTTGAGCTAGATAATCAGTTTTCTTCAAGTTGGACTCGTTTCGAGATTTAAGCAGGCCATTAGGTAAGCCGGTATGGTAGAAAATCGCTTCTGATGTTACGTACTGTATTGATCAAGAACAACATCACGTGCGCGACAGTGTTGTATCGATTGAATTGCAGCATTTCTGTATAATGGAACTTCATCGTAGCTGATTTTTTTATTTGAATGATAAATGTCCAGTAATCAAATATTTATTTTTTAATTTGTTTTTGTTTTCATTGTTCCCATTATGATGCACAGACAAACCTTTGAGACAACAAACTGAACATTTCCTTGTTCCTCTGATCCTCTGCAAATTGCAGAGTATAAAAGCAAAAATGGTAAGAATAGTAATACTGATTGGTAGATAACACATTTGAATCAACAGTTTTGTTAAGTTATAGGGGGCTAATACACTAATAATAAGTAAGTCATTGCTGCAGTCAAAATTAAAGCATCCATTTATATGGGAAGGTGCGAATATTCGTCAACGTGTTGCTTTCCTGAACGCCTGTTCCATCTTTTCCTAACATCGGAATTATGACAAAATAACAAACTTATGTTGAATAATAGAAGAAATACCGTAACGATGATAATGGGTGAGAGATAACAAAGTAGTTTTTTCATAATTTCAGTGAGAACTGGAAATCTTCACTGATAATGGGGAATATCTAATGCTATGTCTATATGTAAATGAATGGATATGCAGAAGATTTGTTTTGAAGTGTGACGATCAGAGCGTTGGATCAGAAGACCTAAGTCAGCCGTGCGTGTTGTAAAGTTATGAATGCAATTCATAATTTCATTGGAGCTTTAAGTTAAATTCGTTACAACATTCCGCGCGTATTGTTATATATCACATACATTGTATAATAATGAATAACTTACCGGCTGTGTTTCTTTACCTGTTTTCGGGAATGCTAATCGGCGCGTGCATGTTAGGCTTTTTAAGGCACTCAGTGTTACTGTCTATATTTGAAGGAAACTATATGCATCGAACGAATACCCATGATGATGATAAAATTTGGTTTTACGAAGTTTTATTTATCCCGGTGAAATAGACGACATGTGTAGAAAATATAATAATATGAAATCGTTGACAAACAACAACCAGTAAGTATGACATTTGCCGCCATGTGTGATCGTTTATAAATTTCCCTCATTGACATCTCTAAAATCGCCTCCATCTCAAAAGAGTTCCTAATCGCGATAATTATTCATTCAAAACTAATATGGAAATCAGCAATTTTATATTAAGGCCACGACACATAAAATCACCTTTAAAAAGTATGACAGTGCTCCATAACGCCAACACTTTTTGTTTTTCGTTTTCTTTTTTTGTTTTTTGTTTTTCATTTTGTTCACTTGTCTTATCGTGTATGACAATTGTGGTCATTGATTTATCTTATTTATAATGAAGCTATTTGGATAGATCGATCACCTTAGATCCAATAAAAACGTGTCCTTGCGATAGACCTATACCATTAATCTTGTAAAATAATGACATAGTATCCGATAGTTAAACCTTATCTCAAAGATTACTGAGACTAAAACAACACATATTCATATGTCACTGGCGATCAGCAATGGGTAACAAGGTCCACAGGTACAATCATCACAGTAGATTGTTATCAATTGAAACGGATTCAATACCGCGCTCTGTTTGGAGTTATAATAGATAGCGGTTCAAACATGTAAT